GGGTACCATAATCAAGAAAGTGTTTGGACAGGCGGACACTCAACCCACTGAAAATTTGAAAGCATTTTTTATTATTACTCGCGGACAAAAGCGGCCTTATAAGAAGGCCCTACTCTATCTGCTGGAGGACAAGACGGATGCAGGTATGGAGAATGCGGTAAATCCACGACAGAGGAGGCTCCGATTAAAGTAGAAGCCGTCTGTACACTCATCCAAGTCCAGACTATCACATTGCTAATGGTAAAGCACAAGAAATTGCTAGACCGGCAAAAACAAAGGTTAAGCAGGAAGAAAGTACGTAGTGCTAATTTACGCTCGATATAAGTCTTACTGGTTGATATAATTTTGAAGTTTTCAACAGATTAGACGTGAATTTTTCGAAACCTCGAGAATTATGATTTGCGGACTGTGTGGTGACATTGTAACCAAAGACTATCGAAGATGGAAGTTAACAAAATAACTCTAAGAAAAAAGAAGTCCACGCATGCCCCAGGACTTAGATACACGCCGTAAGAACCCAAAGGCCTGCGGCCGTAGATTATAAAAACGGACAGGAAGTACAGACTTTTTAAGCTGACGTCCCTCATTATTGTATTACTAGTGGGCTGTAGTTGGTTCACTGGTAGGAAAGCCGCAGGTATTTTAAAAAGTTGGCGTTGAGCCTTACCCCAATGCATCCACTTTTTGAAGACCCTGTAAAAGTTCAAAACGCAGGGCCTTGGCCATTTCCAGGACGTACTTTTCTTCACCGGAACTGAAAGAGGAACAAAAAGCCTAGACTGAGCAGGACTTAGCAACAGGCATAACAGACAAAGAGTAAAGGTGGCAAAAAAGAGCGATACGGCCGCCATCAAGTTGGAAGATGCAAGCAGGCAATTTGCATTCGGGTAGGTCTGACGGCCAGGAGTGCACAGGTCGTAGAATGCGTCTCTGAGATCATGAAATGAGATACACCGAAGTGCACATTATCTGTCAGATAGTCTCTAAGTTTTTTATGGAGTCTGTTGCCGGTACAGGGTGCCAGGATTACCCATTACACAGTCACACGTCCTAAAACAAGGTATTTAATAATTCCGAGGCATTCCATTACAGCTGGTGTACTTCAGCTCGTATATTCACGCTATTCCTTCGAACAGAACCTGTGGTTTTTGTCAAGAAATCTACTTCAGCTTTACGGGTCAAGTTCTGCGAAAATTAAAATGATAAGGAGGTCCGGTAGAGTTGAATAATCCATTTGAATTAATTGTGAAAACTCGGCGGCCTCCGTGGAATTTGAACCCATGACAGCACATGGGAAGGTTAAAGTACAGTTAAAGATCTAGTCATCTGAGCTACGACACCCCACCGGGAGCTATGCGTTTAGTCACCTTTAGGTCAAGTTACCTGCCCAGCCTACTGCACGGTAGGGAATCCATCAATTCTGATATAGTAGCATTTCCTAAGCAGTGAGTTTCAAATCCACCAGATGACTGCCAGACGCACTGAGGTATAAGGGAGTTTAAGCAGATTGGAATAATTCGGTTGAATCCATCAAACTAAAATAGGGATATATAACAAAAAATAACTAGGGGAACGCTGGGAGACTCCATTATGAACCGACCACCTCACATGTGCGTCATGTACTGACACTGTATCGTGCTGCAATGCTCATCATTGGGCATTCGGGTCACACGTTCCACCATTAAACCATATTTTTACGTCCCGTTAGCAACAATATGGAGTATCCAAAACCACCGGTTTTCATCTAGCAAGCTTGCTTTCCGTGCAGAGGAGCCGGACGGTTCGGGGGGGGAGGGGAGACTGTAGTGAAAATGACGTGCAGCAAAAACTGAGTTCGAATTCTGCGAACCGGACCCACGCCAAGCGAAGTCAGGTACCTATAAGCAAACTGACAGTCTTGAAAATATGGAAGTATGGGGAGAAGGAGAGTGAGGTTGAGTCTAGGACTTCCAGCCTCAAAGACGCTCTAGCGGATTCACCACTAGTCTTGAAAACATCACGGTATGCTAAAGGTCGTGACTTAAAAGGCCGCCAACTGAAGAGGACGCGATCCCTGCGGCCAGTACCCAAGTGACTGGCTGGTGGATCTGGTGGAATCAATTTCTCCTTCCGAATGGGCCCCCAATGGCACTCCCATTCAGCTGCGATCCGAGCCGTTTTCTCTCTTTTTCATGAAATCCGGGTCAACTATGTGGAGACCAAGTCGTATGGTGTGCGCGTAGACAGGTGGTTTAGCTCTGCTAGTCACTGCATCCAGGCACGTTTTGCGGTTTTCCTGACTATGTCCCAACATCGAGCCCAGACGCATGTCAGAGGAGCAAGTGCGACTGATGCTGTGAAAATCTACTATTCACAAACCAGCATCCTGCGCCTACTGTGTTGTTGGACGCAGTCATTCACGGAAGTCGAACTGTCGGGCTTCAACCTATAGGACTTTTGAAACATTGTTTTCCCGGTAGAAGTTTGAAAAGGGCGAAGATCACAAG